CACACACACACAAACACACACACACACACTCACACAGAAACACACACACACACACACACACACACACACACACACACACATCAATGCCATTGTAATAACGTTTTGTGTCGTTAAACAGTTTCCGTAATAAAATAGAACAGGTTGTCCATATTATATTTCTTTTCAGTGTTTTAAACATTGTGTAGATTTTTATCACTACGTTGAGTCAAGAAGATAGTGTAGGGTGGGGGGTAGGGATGGAGGTGAGTTAGGAAGGGTGGAGTTGGGAGGGGGGAGTTGAGATATAAAGGGCCAGTCATGATACGAGGCTAGTCAAGACTACATACCTCATCATGATGAAACGTAGACCTGTTTATAATAATGAAGACTGTGCACTTTGACGTAATTCTGGTCCAGTATGACAGGGACCATTTGATTCTATTTGGATCCAAAACGAAGGGAAAGGAGGGATAGATTGCACGAGCGCTGGAGTATTGCTAGCTTGATTTTTTTCAATGGTCTGGCGATTATGCCCTCGGACTTGCAACCGAAAGTCGTAGGTGCTGGACATTCAAGATCAGCAAAGAAGCAGTCAAATCTAACTATCTAATTTTATAGCAAAGCGGTTTTTGAAAAACAATAAATACTGAGAGTGCGTGATAGATTTCTGCAATAATAACAAGCACCAAAGTCAAAAGTTTTGGGACAAACCCGAGAGAACTAGCAAGCCTTTTTTTCCCTTCTTTGTCGTGATAGAACCTACCCTTAATGACGCGAAAAATCGATGAAACAGAGGCTTGAATTGTATGTTTCAATTTCAAACAAGTAACTGGTCATTTCTTTTAATTTAATTTTTGTTAAACAACTACCCACAAAGGATTCTGAAGCACTCGGGCTTACAAGGCTAATGAAACAATTAGTAGCAAATTTCATAAGATCCTCATACTTTCACACGTGTAAACCGCAACCCAAATTTAGTAGAACGTGCACGCGCATCTTGCACCTTTGTATTTGTTTCCTTATGGCTGCTACCCAAATAATAATATTATTATTATAACCCTGAACTTGTGACCTTAGAGTGCTAGCCCTTGGTGTGTCTCTTGTCACCCGACGGCTACGACCGATTTGGCTCGCGAAAAAAATACCCCCCCCCCCCCCTGCTTCGTGTGAGACACCCACATACATGTACGTTATTTTCAGAATGGCGTATGGCAGAGTCTTACAGTAACTTACACCAAGCAGTCGAAACATGTAGGATTTTCAAGATCACAGTCGAGTTTTGAGGAATTTGATCGTATTGTACCAAAATGGTATCTTTTGCCCCTCCGTGAAAGAAAAAAAAAATCTGGTTGGCTCTAAACAAATCAAGTGAATCAAATTTTCAGTCTACACTGATTGTAACACATTTTTAGTAAGTTAAGTAGGGTAGAGCAGGATTTGATTCTTAACTTGGGGAGGGGGAGAAAGAGGGGGGGGGGAGCGTCTAAGTACTTCTTTTAAGATGGAGCATCGGGGTGTGAGGTTGATAGTATAGAATAACCCTACACAAGCCATAACCCTCAAATGGCCCTTTTTGCTGTTTCTTAAAAAACATTTTAAATGAAACATTTGAAGCCAATTGAATAATTTTACAATCTCTCTCCCCCTCCCTCCAACTTTTCCATTTTTCTCTGAAAACTGTTAATGAGCAATTAATTTGAAACCCCACAACAATACGACTAAATAGGGGATAAATCTCGACACAATGTTTCAAACATAAATCAATGGGCTGGGCTCCAGGGAATTCAGGTTGAACGCGTTATTACGGTAGACCATGGCCAGACTGCCTACCCACTAGACCACGGCGTGGGCGGTTGGCGCATGGTCTGGTGTGGTTTGCTCCTTCTTTCCCTTTAAAATTCTATCGTTCTTATTTGTCCCCCTTCTCTATTCAGTGTTTGGTGCTCTCTTGTAACACCTCTAATCGTCCACACCGATATAATGTGTTGTGAGTACCGTAAAACTCTTTTACAAAAACAAGACAAGGGACGCAATATATTGTCGTCGGCACACTCAGCTCAGAGAGCAATATTTTTTAGAAGAAAGAAAAAAAAAAAACCAACGTTTCATTCTTTTAAAATTGTTATCTTCTTTGCGTATCTTCCCTTGCCTTTTGTTTCTCAATATTCAGAATAGGAAACTGGACAAAATGTTTCTTGAGCACAAGCAGCCGGTGCCACATATTAAGAAACTGAAATAGCAAAAGAAAGAAAAAAAACAACAACAAATAATCAACCCCCCCCCCTTCCGACAAGTGCTAAATTTGGGGCTCAGAACACCGAACAGCTGGCCCAAAGGTCTAGTCACATTTAGATGATTTCGACAAAATGAGCTAAAACCTCATTCGTGAAATACATACAAGTATGTTCCGATTAGAGGACTTAAATAGACTTTTTTCTGGACTTGACCTTGTTGTTGTATTTAAGCTTCACATCTTTAAACCCGAATAACAAGGTGTAGGAACAGAATAGCGCGTCATCAGTGCTATTAATAGATAGCCCTTTGTTGCCGCTTTCGAATCATATGCAGAACTCTAATTTTTGTTAAATGTGACTTAACCTTGTTGCTCTCAGATCTTCAATTGTGTATCCCATATCTGGCCGAAGAATGTTATTTCCCAGATGGAAGTCGCGTTAACCCTTTCTCTCTCTCTCTCCCCCCTCTGTCCCACAGCCCAGATAGCCGCTAACGTGCTGGCCCCGCGGGTGTCTGTCCGTGTCCAGATGACCGTTGCAGCAGTGGTCAACGTAGCGGCCACCCTGATGATGGTGATTCTACCCAACTTCCCCGTGTTTTTCACCATGAATGTTATCAAATGTAAGTGATACATCCTAATTGAGTGTAGGACATGATTCCCAAAAATTTCATTTTTATTGTATAACATTGTATGCCTGTGCCACCCCCCCCCCCCCCCCATCCTTTCCCCAGTTCTCCAAAAACAAAACAAAACAAAACAAAAGCAAGCAATTAAGAAAAATAGATAGATAAAAAAAATTAAAAGATTACGAATTAAAAAAGAATACAACATTTTTACAAAATCAGTACAATTTAATTCATTTATGAGGTGCGCTTCGACCTTACCTGTCAGGGCCAACCAACCCGAGCTGAGAGGAATTGAACATCCCAGCTGGAAGACTGAGGTACTCGATAAAATTACACACCATTCTTGAATCGAACTCAGCTGGTCTCCTCTATGCGACGGCAAAGCGCCTAAGCGCTACACCACATACATTGGTCTTTCGTCTTTGTAGTAACTGTTTTATCCTTCATACAGCACGACAACGCAGTCTGTCTTTTCGTCTGTCGGTCTTCGTTTTTCTCCATGGAACGCAGAGATAAGCTTTCCTTCCTCTCTATCAAACTCAGCTTCAATGGTCAAATACTAACGTTTCTCCCTCAAACACAACACTTGCCATCTCCCTACAATTATTTTCTTGAACCATGCACTGTCATCGACGCCACTCTTTGCTCTCCAAACAAAACAAGAAAAACAGCAAACCCAAACAACTTTGCCTCAAAGTGCAGTAAGAAGATAAGATGAGATAAGATAAAGATAAGATAAAGGAGAGATAAAGATAAAGATAAGATAATGATAAGATAAGGCAATACTTTATTGTCCCAGTTAAACAACACAAGACGTTTTGCTCAAAATGAAACTATCCAAAAGAAAACTGGAAATGCGTCAGAGCGAGCGCACGATCTAAGATTATTGTAAAGCAAGTCAACACCAATTTATGCGTTTGCCGAGTCATTTGTCGTAAATAATGAGTGGACGTATGGGACAAAGTACTTTAAAACCAATAAACTCATCGACATCAAATCTCTATTTCTCCTCCCCCTCACCAGTTTGCGCCCACGGCTTCGCGCTCATTCCATCCTTGACCCTGGTGGGCTACTACTTCAGTCGCCGGCGCGGGCTGGCCACCTCCATGGCCCTGATGGGCATGAGTTTTGGCGGGATCGTCATCGCTCCTATGACCCGTTTCCTGAAGGACGAGTTCGGATTCCGTGGCTGCATGCTGCTTCTTGCAGGTTATGAGGTGACAACTGGAGGCTGGCACTACTGACCAATGCCTCTCTCTCTCGGAATCTGTACATTCGCTTTACACCCTGTCTGTCTGTCTGTCTGTCTGTCTGTCTGTCTGTCTTTCTGTCTGTCTGTCTGTCTGTCTGTCTGTCTGTCTGTCTGTCTGTCTGTCTGTTTGTCTGTCTGTCTGTCTGTTCACCCGGTTTAGATTGTCTGTCTTTTTGTTTGTTTATCTGTCTGTCTGTATGCCAACTCGAAGCTTGAGGCGCTGTTTTTCTGCCTGTCCGTCCGTCCGTCCGTCTGTCTGTCTGTTGTTTGTTTATCTCTGCATCAGTCTCTATGTCGTTCTGTTTCTCCCGCCCCCCCCCTCTCATGTCGCCATTTCTTCTCCTGCACCCTCGCTCGGCCCCCCTTCTCTCCCCCCGCTCCTTCTCTCCCTCCCTCCCTCCCTCTCTCTCTCTCTCTCTCTCTCTCTCTCTCTCTCTCTCTCTCTCTGCTAATCTTTCTCCCCCCATCTCTCTCTCTCTCTCTCTCTCTCTCTCTCTCTCTCTCTCTCTCTCTCTCTCTCTTTCGTTGTCGCTCTCCCTCTCTATTCATGGTTGTCCTCTTTCTCTCGGTATTCTTAATCTCCCTCTCTCTTGTCCCCCCCCCCCCTCCTTCTCTATCTTTCTCTCTCTATCTCTCTGTCTCTTTGTCTCTCTCCACATTCCTCTCTATGCAAGTGTGTGTTTGTATTTGTTCGTGCCTATTTATTTATATATCGTTTTTGTGTGCATGTGCTTATATGTTCGAAGTTGTGTATGTATGTGTGTGTGTATGTTTGTGTGTGTATGTGTGTGTGTGTGTGTGTTTGTGAGTGAGTGTGTGTGCGTGCGTGTGCGTGCGTGTACGGCGCGAGTGAACACATGTGTGTATGTGTGCGTGTGCACGGCAGCTTTGTGCTCGTGTGATCTTATCTGTTTTAAAACGAACCAGATTTGATGTTGGTTTGGACAAGGTTACATTCACCTGTCACGCCTATCTCCCTTCCAGGTCAAAGATTCATCACATTACAACTCTGATAAACTCGCCCATTGTCGACAAACATAACCAACGACCTCTCAATTTGTCGTATGAGATTAAAAGGGATTATTTAGCTGGCAAGCTCGATTAAAATGTTGTAAGGCTAGAAAGCTACAGTTTGCGTTCTTTTAACAAGTGCATACGTTATGTCTGGCTTTTGTCTTGCTTTTTTTCAACAGGATGATTTAGAATTTTAATACCGGCTAAATATTTGTTGCAATCATGCAACTGATACCATCGATTAAGAAACTGCAATTTAAATATAAAGTCGAAATTATGGGCTTAGTACATTTTAACAGCCGGCCAACGAGTCGCATTTTAGGCACATTAGCGATAGTGGCAGTAAAAGTTTGTACATTTTCAGCAAAAATCTGGATACAACCCTTTTCGTGTACGAAGTATAATTTTTTCTCAGAGCAAAAATAATCATATAAAAAAGATTCGCGGATCACCATGTAGTGCGTGGTAGATATAACCTGCAACAAACCGCAACTCGAAGCATCCCACATATCGCGATAGAACCCCTTTCATCTCATACGACAAATTGCAATCACTACAAAATTTGGTCTACGTGTCTTAGAGGTCATCAAGAGCAAAAGGATTCTTTTTTTCACACTGCAATGTTGGCTCTTTCAACTTTATGTATTGTGTGTCATTTTACCGATGCAATTGTCTCGAGGAGAAAAAATAACTGTAATTGAAAATTAAAACCAGAAGAAGAACTTGTTTAGAAAGCAGATATAAAAATATAGAGACGCCCATGAGTGGTTTTAAGGCAGCGAATTGAGGTTAACGTTATTAACGAAACGGATAATCCAATATCTCACTCTCCTTTTTTGTTTTGTCTCTCTCTCTCTCTCTCTCTCTCTCTCTCTCTCTCTCTCTCTCTCTCTCTCTCTCTCTCTCTCTCTCTCTCTCTCTCTCTCTCTCTC